TGGGGGCTGCGTTGAATATCCGCGCGCCACGGCTGGATGTGCGCTGGCCCACAAGAAGCCAGCAGGTACGTCTGCGTTTCGTGCTCTACGATTGCTGCAGCGTCGGATTGAAGATCTCGTGGAGGTGGTGGCCAAGTTTGGTTGTGCGCCTCAACCGAGGCGCCGCTCGGCGTGGCGGCCGATCAGAGACATCATTGCTGGCGCAGGGCGCACGCGTCGTTTGGCCGGTTGTCTTCCGATAGATTGGAAGTCGCATCTTATTGGATCGGCGTCCACAGCCAGGCCAGGTGCGTCCGCAATTTTCCGCTGCGGTGCCCCGCCTCGGCCGGCGCCCGTCTCGCTCGCGAAAAGGAGCGTGGGCGCGGCAGAAAGTGGGGGCAGGTTTCGTCGCGTGGTTGAGGGGGTCTCTAGGGCGTCGATCTCGACCCGTTCATCTGTGGACCGAGCCGAAGGGCTCGAAGTTATCCCAGATGCGCGCTTCCCTCGGCCCGTGCCGTCGCGTTTCCGACGTCGCGAGCGTTCGGAGGGATTTGTGGACCGACGTCTGGGAAAGGGGCCGCTGCGCCTGCTAGTCTGGAAGGGTCACATGATGAGCTCGATCGCCTTCGGGGCGCGCGGGCCAGGGTGCCGCCGATGGAGATTTCTGCGCCCCGACAGGCCTTCCAAGCTTTCTCAGCGCGGGCGGCCGCGGGGCCAGACGTGTTCAGGCCGTGCAATTGGTCTCTCCTTCGTCGTGCAGCGCTGTCCACGTTAGGCTACGTATTCTACTTGTGCGAGCAGTGGTCGATTTTGGTCTAACGGCATGAAGTTCGTGCGCGTCGTCCTTTATGTTAAGCCTGCAGGCAGGTATCGACCGATCGTTTTGCTTGCGCCGCTGCGCCGTGCTTAGACCGAGTCTCGAATATCGTTCGCCCAGAGGTGGGCCGCGACTGTTGGGCGATCCAATCTGGTTCTCGAGGCCGGTATGCGCGCCGCTGACGTCGCGGCGCGCGTGTTGCTGCAGGGGTAGTCGCAGGGCAGGCGTGGTTCGATGCTTGATGACCCCGCGGTTCTCCATGTCATCGTTGACGTGGAGAAGGCCTCCGACAGAGCCGGTTGGAGGCTGATTGCTGTTGCTGGCATCCGACGCGGGCATCCTGGTGCCATGTTGTGCCGGGCTTGTCAGATGCGCGCAGCCGGCAGGCGGCTCGGGCGGGGGGGGGGCCGCTCGGGGCCATCGTGGGCTGCGCGAGGCATCTGGCCAGGATGCAGCCTTGCCGCGTTCGCCCTGCAACTCGCCCCCCAGTCCGTCGCTCGACGGGCGGATTGTTCCACTATCTTTATGCCAAGAACATCGGGGTGCAAGTCGCATCGGCGGCTCGGCGTGTTCTTGGAGCAAGCGAGTTCGTCGTTGCCAGAACTAGCCGCGATGCTCGACGGTTTCGGATTTTGAAAAACTAGGCGAAAAATGGCTGTCGCAAGTTCTACCTCAATGCGTGCCTGGAAAGACTGTCTTGGAATCGGAGCCGTGAGATATCGCGTCGTCGATGCGCTCGAGGTCCTCGGGGCGGAGGTTGCCTCGCGGAGGCCGCCTCGGTACTCTCGCCTGAGCTCGGATCGGGAAGATGAAGATTCGTCGGGCTCGGCTTCGGCGCGCGCGCGTCGAGCGGGGCCTCTGGGGGAAATTCGCCAAGCAGGCGATTCCACAAGCGTCATCGCATGGGGCGGGGGCTCATGGGGCTGGCCCGCCTCTCGCTCGTGCTACGCGACGCGCCCTTCGAGGCGCTCGCGGTGGAGCTCAGGGCCCGCGAGTTTCGGCCTGGGCGGGCTCGATTTTCCAAGGGGCTTTTGTCTGTTGGGGCGCTGCGTTGCATGGAGTACTGCGACGGGCTTGGATTCGGCAAGTCGCGGCCATCTATCGGGTGGGGAAGCCTTGGGGGCGCGCCCCCTGCGGGGCCGTGCCCCTGGCTGTTCGAGATTTGGGATGGGTCTCCAGGTCTGCGTTCGTCTGGCATGGCAAACCGATCGAGGCGACGAATTGGACTTGAGAACCAGCCATCCACCATCAGTGCAGTTGAAGCGGGGTATGAGATCGGGGTCGGTTCGGGGAGGGTTCCCTAGTGTTCTTCGCGTTTGTTTGATGTTCTTGTGCATCCTGGGGAGGGTGCCCTCGGTTGTTTTCTTCGTCTTGGCCTGCGGAGAGTCTCGCGTTCTTGCGGGATGTTCTCCTGGCCTAGGTCCGACAGTGAGCGATTTGGCATTAGAAACTGCTGAGCGGCGACTGGCGAGATTTGTCGCGTCGACCTGATCGCGACCGCGGCTCAGAAATATACCCCCAAACGCAGGGGGGATGCTTGCCGGCGACAGTCGCGAGCGTGCTTGGCCGCGCCCTGGGAGGAGAAGGTCCCGGCAAATTTTGCGTTCTAACGAAGCAGCTAGCAGCAACTTTGAGAGTTGTTGTCGCGGGTGCTCTGCGGGTGCGTGGGCTTTCCGACCCTGCAGTCTGCCCGTGCTGCCCTCATCAGCGCGCTGACCTTGTCCGCGTTCCGAGCGCGCGCGATGTTGCGGAGGATTGGCGCTCTCAAGTTTCCAGCGGCGCTGAACATCGAGGGCGGCTTCCAGATGTGTTTCAGTCGTCGCGGTATTGGGTGGGGGGTTTGCTCTTCGCCGCCGCGCTGCCGAGTCCTCCTGCGCGTGGTGATGGTGGAGTTTGGCGAGTTCTTTCTACGTGGAGATGCCAGAGCTGTAACGGGTGATGTTTTCTCAGACGGGGCATGCCGCAAATTTCTCTAGTGGCCTGAAGCAGAGCCGTCCGAACATGGTCGATCTCGTCGGGCACGGTCCAGTGCCGGGCCCCATCCATACTTCCCCTCGGGCATGACTTGGCGCAGTGGTTCAAATCTTGTGGGTGGCAATTCTTCCCGCCAGGATCCAGACAGGCTACTTAGATCTGCCTGGGGATGTGTCGTCCGAGGCGATCCAATGCTGACTTTGGTGTGAAATATGGCGTAGGATCGAAGATCTTGGAGACCTTTCAGACGATTGTTGCAAGTCGATAGCGTTCCTGGACATCGAGCAGGTCTTGGGTACGGAGCTAAAGGCAATCGATGGGCCGATGTCGCGGCCTGTCAGGGACGTGACATGTGCGCTTTGACGAGGTTTGAAACCCACCGTGTCAAGATGTTGTTCCAGTCGGCCAGGACAGGTTAGACCTGGGTGGCCAAAGCCCACACCTAGTTTCTCGGATATTCGGTTGTTCCAGGGGGGGCCAGGTTGCGAGAGTGCCGTCGGGCTCGGGCCAGCGCCAAAAAGGTAATTGAAACCTCTATGTGCCTTCGCTTCCCTCGGGCAAATGCTGGAGGTGTCCGTTTTGTGCTATGTATGTAGGTTCTGGAAGACAGCGCAAAATACTCGCGACTCGTGAGTGCCCTGCGAAGATATCGTTGCGCGTTCGTTCTCTGCTCTTGCGGGTTAGTCCTCCTAGGCAGTGTCGGGCTCAGTCTCGTATTGGCTCACAAGTGGGGCTCCCGCGGGTGAGTCCTCCCAGGGAGGCTTCTGGGGTCTCGGGGGGCGCTGGTTCCTCGTCTCAGGCCGCCCCGATTTCTCTTGATAGCCATCTGTAGGCGGGGCGGGTGGAGCTTGGGGGTATGGGTGGCTCTCCTGCTCAGACTAGCAAGCGTTCGCCCTCGCCCGCTCATGTTTTGCGGCAGGTGCGCGTTCGATTGCATCAGCGCGAGTCAAAGGCTGGCTCCCAGCGTCATGATCGGTCGTCGGGGTATTCGCAAGTTGGGGAGTCCAGGCCGGTTCAGCTTGCTAGCCTTGTTCTTTTGCAGGGCATTGCCCGTCTTCAGGAGGGTCGCACGAGGCCTCGCTCTCCTTCCCTCCTCTGAGAATGGTCAAGGTTCGGCCGGACGTACCTCCACCCGACGAGTGGGGATGCGCGCGCGCGGTGCGACTCGCGCCGTCCAGCTTCGGCACGCTTGAAGAGGCTGTCGAGCACTAAGAGGCGCGCCCCCTTTCCGCCTCGTCCTCTTCCTTTGATTCCCCTCCTCCTCCTCCTCCTCCTCCCCCTCCTCCTCCTCTTCTTCCTACTCCTCCTCTCGTGGGGGGTGGGCGGGAGGTGGGTCGTCGGTGGGGGCCGCCTTCCAAGTCGAGGAGGCTTGGATGCGCGCGTGGCGGCACGCTCTCACGTCGAGAATCGCCGCAGTCCCTGGGCGATGCACCGCCGAGCGCGGTCCGTGGGCACGAGTTGTTCATGTCGCCGGGTGTTTGCCCACGTGTCTTCTGTGCGGAGGGATCTCCACTGGCAGGAATTCGTTTTTTGCGGGAAAGGTGCCCCCCGCCTCCGTATGATGAGCGTGCCCAGTCGCACGTCCATGGGTTTCCGACTCGTCGGCGTCCTGCGGATCAGTACAGGCGCGAGGACTTGGCGTGTCGGCGTAGGTCGGAGTTTTCGGACCTTTGAGCTGCATTGGCTGCAGCTCCAAATTGGTTTCGGGTTTTCCCTTTCGAATTTTCGCCTAGTCGTCTTGCGTGCTCTGTATTTGCACTTCTGCGCCCTCCCCGCCGTGATCCCGTTCTTGTGGGTGGGCTCTGTGGGGTTGGCGCCGAGCGAGCGCCGAGCCGAGGCCGATGCGTCTCGGCTCGTCCTCGGTGGCCGTTGGCGCTTCGCGCGACGGACTCCTTCAAGCTGCGTCGCTCCTCCTTCCTCCTCCTCCTCCTCCTCCTCCTCCTCCTCCTCCTCCTTCCCTCCTCCTCCTCGTCGTCCTCCTCCCCCTCTCCCTTCTCCTCGTCCTCCTCCTCGTCCTCCTCCTCCTTCCCTCCTCATCCTCCTCTCCCTCCTCCGCGTGCGCTCCTCCGCGCTCGCTCGTGGGAGCGCGACGACGACGACGACGACGACGACGACGACGACGACGACGACGACGACGACGACGACGACGACGGCGGCGACGACGACGACGACGACGACGACGACGACCCCGCCGCCCTCCGCGAGGACCGAGGCTCTCGCCCCCATCGCAATGGCGTGGGGCGGAGAGGTGGCCCCGCGCCTCGGCATCGCCGGCGGCGTCATCGGGCGGGCCCGGGGGACAATCAGCAACGTCGGGTAGTGAGGCTGCGGGTTCGAGGTTGGAGGTTTTCGGGCGGTGTCGACGGGTTTCGGCGGTTTTCCAGCTTCGGGGTGCTCTCTAGCAGTTGCGCCTCGCCGAGAGCGCTCTGGGGGTGCCCGGATCGTCAGAGAGCCGAGGTACGAGCATTCAGCTGGGGGGTCACGTTCGGGGGGATGAGCTCAGGGGGGATGCGTCGACCCCCAATCGCCTAGTTATTCATCCCCGAGTCGATAAGGGGCCTGACCGACCACCTTGCCCAGGAATGCGTGGCGTCGCTGTCGGGGGCCTATCGCCGACCGATCGGCGATGCATCGTCGATTCCACGTCGATGTTCTCCTCCCTGAGCTGGTCCCCCCAACGTTCTCCCTCAGTCAGGAGCTCAGCGCCTGCATGGTTTTTTCCCGTCACGTTTTCGAAGGGTATTGGAAGGTTTGGGAAGGTGTTTGGATATGTTCGAGGGTTTTCGGGCTTTCGCGCGTGTTTTCGAAGGTTTTCGAAGTGTCTCGGGAGGTTTTCGAACACTTCTCGGAAGTTCTTGGGGCCCGGGGTGGTCTGCGTCAGCTGCGCCTCGTTCCAAGCGTTCCGGGGATGCCAGAGCCGTTTCGAACGGCCGCAGGGCCAACGTGGGTTCGGCCAGTCCCGTCTGGTCTCCCCTGGATGACTTGGGTTTTGGAACCACTTGATGCCGCCCCCTCCCTCCTCTGCACTTCCCGCACCTTCCGCGCGGCAGGTGCCGCGCTGCCGCGGCCGCCGCCACGGCCGCAGCGGCGGCCGCGGCGGCCCGCGGCCTTTTGTGGCGACCTGCACTCTCCGCGCGGGAGGCGCGGAAGGTTTAGGTCGAGGGCTTCCCTCATTCCGCTGGCCCGGGCCTGGGTGATCCAGGTCAGTGCTGGCCCGGGTCAGCGCATGCCCGAGGTCAGTGGAGGCCACACGTGCCCTTCCAGAGCAGACGTACCCTGGAGAGGGGTCCTCGGGGCCAGCCCTCGGGCGCTCAGGGGCCACGTTTTGACGCAGGCCGTGGGCGCCTCATTGGGGCGGCGTCGCCTCCGGTGGGGGGTTGCAGAGGAGGACGAGATTCGATGCGTGCGCTGCCTTTCGCTACTTGTCTCCAGAGCTAGCCGTGGCAGCCCCCGCCCTCGCCTCGCTCCCCCCCCCCTCCACTTCCCCCTCCACTTCCACCCTCACGCTGCCCATGCGTCGCATTGCAGGGAGCCGCTCCCAGAGTCGGTACCTTTCTGTGTTTTGTGCGCCAGGCTGCGCTCCACTTTGCTCTGGCGGCCAGCGCGTGACTCACTCTTTCTTGGAGTGCCTGGACTTCGGACGCCCTCCCAGGTCACGGTCCCATGGGGGCGGCCGATGATGCTGATGATTATGATGATGATGCTGCTGGTGCGGTGTCGGCGTCATGAGCCTGGGGTAATCGTCTCGAGACCGGCAGTGACCCCGACCCTCTTGCACTAAGGGTGGAGGCCGCTGCCCAGTCTCGTCCAGACTGCGCTTCGAGCAAGCGGCCTGCCCAGGCACTGCTTCGCAGGCCGCCTCATCTGACCTGCAGTCGTGTACGCAGCTCAGACCTGGCAGGCACAAAATGAACAGCACGAATCCCTGCTGGCCGCCCCCATGGGAGCGTGACCTGGGAGGGCGTCCGAAGACCCTGTCGGCGTGTGGAATGGGTTGTTCGTCGTGGCTGTTGTCCTCGTACGTACTCGTCGTCTTCGTTACTGGGTCCGTCGCCGCTCCCCCCCTCTTTCCCTGGGCCCTCGTCCTCAAGCGCGCCAGCCAAAGCGAAATTATTAACAACGCCGTCATTGAGTCGAAGGGAAGCCCCTTCCCGTTGATCCCGTCCCCGCCGGGGGGTGGGGTGGAGGGTCCCGGGAGGGGTCCCCGGGGAGGGGGTCCCGGGGGGGGGGTCCCGGGGAGGGGTCCCCTGGGGGGGGGTCCTGGGTCAGAATGCCACCGCCCGTTTGCGGCTTTTGCAAAGGGGCCCTCTGTAGATGCGCTGGAGGAGGGGGGGGTCGCCAAGAAGGATACGCAAGAGCGCCCCTAGACGGCCCAAGCCCCACAAGACAGCCCAAGAACGCCGAAGAACGGACAAAGGGGGCCCCCAGACAAGTCAAAAGAGACCCCAAAAGACTCAAGAAGGCCCAGAGAAGCCTCCTCCTCCTCCTCCTCCTCCTCATCCCCCTCCTCCTCCTCTCCTCCTCCTTCTCCTCCTCCTCCTCCTCCTCCTCTCCTCCTCGCCCTCCTCCTCTCCGCCCTCCTCCTTCTCCTCCTCCTCCTCCTACCTCCTCCTCCTCCTCCTCCTCCTCCTCCTCCTCCCTCCTCCTCCCTCCTCCTCCTCCTCCGTCCTCCTCCTCCCTCCCCCCTCCTCCTCCTCCTCCTCCTCCCTCCTCCTCCTCCTCCTCCTCCTCCTCCTCCTCCTCCTCCTCCTCCTCCTCACTCCTCCTCCTCCTCCTCCCTTCCTCCTCCTACGCCCTCCTCCTCCTCCTCTCCTCCGCCTGCTCCCCTCCCCCTCCTCCTCCTCCTCCTCCTCCCTCCTATCTTCTCCTCCTCCTCCCCTCCTCCTCCTCCTCCTCCCTCCTCCTCCTCCTCCGTCCTCCCCTCTCCTCCCCTCTCCTCCCTCTCCTCCTCCTCCAACCTCCTCCTCCCTTCTCCTCCTCCTCCTCCTCCTCCTCCTCCTCCTCCTCCACCCCTCCTCCCCTCCTCCTCTCCTCCTCCACCTCCTCCGCCTCCTCCTCCTCCTCCTCCTCCTCCTCCTCCTCCTCCTCCTCCTCCTCCTCTCCTCCTCCTCCACCCCTCCTCCTCCTCCCCCCCCTCCCTCCTCCTACCTTCTCCTCCTCCTCCTCCTCCTCCTCCTCCTCCTCCTCCTCCTCCTTCCGCCTCTGCTCCTCCGCCCTCCCTCCTGCTCCTCCTCCTCCTCCTCCTCCTCCCTCCAAATCCTCCTCCTCCCTCCTCATCCTCCTCCTCCTCCCTCCTCCTCCTCCTCCTCCCTCCTCCTCCTCCTTCCTCTCCTCCTCCTCCTCCTCCTCCTCCTCCTCCTCCTCCTCCTCCTCCTCCCCTCCTCCTCTCCTCCTCCTCCTTCTCCTCCTCCTCCTCCTCCTCCTCCTTCTTGCTTTTCGGCTCTCGATCGGCTCTTGAGGCTTCTAGGCGGCCCGAAGGTTGCCCGAGTGAGCTCCGCGAGAGGGGCAAACGGCCCCAAAGGCTTTCTGAGCACTCAGAGGATCACAGGAGGGCTCCGAGAGCCCCCCCCGTCTACTTCCGGATCCGAGTCCAGGCCCACGGCGCATTCTCGTCGATGCCCCACCCCAAGCGCTCCAGGACGGCATCAGACACTCCAAGAGGCCCTGAGAGGGCACCACCATGGCCCCCGATAGCGCGCCAGCAAGGCCCCGAGGACACCCACAGACAAATACGCTCTCGAAGTGGCCGCAGGAGGCCTCCCTCCGATCCTCAAGAGTCGGAGGCTGCGCCCGACGCAGGAGCTTCGTCCGTGGCGCGTCCTGCTCGCCGCGGTTGGTCAGGGGTGGCCGCCGCGCCCAGATTTCCGGCCTCCCTCCGACTTTGAAGTCGGAGGCTGCGCCAGACGCAGGAGCTTCGTCTTAAGTCGGGCCTGTCCCTCTACAGGAGGAATATTCAAAAATAGTCCAATAATAGTCAGGGGACTTTTTTGTTTTTGTTTTCATAGCATTGCTGACCATTGGACCATGCTGATCAATTTTTTCATCCAAAATCCGCCTGTGGGGGGACATGCCCGACCTAAGCTTCGTCCGTGTGGCGTCCTTCTCGCCGCGGTTGGCCAGGGGTGGCCGCCGCGCCCAGGCTCTGGCAGCCCCCCCCGCCCCTCTCGCGGCCCGCCGGCGAGGAGGGAGGCGCTGCGGCGTGGGGGCAGAGGGAGGGGCAGGCCCTTCCACCTCCTCCTCCTCCTCCTCCTCCTCCTCCTCCTCCTTCTCCTGCTCCTCCTCCCCGAAGGGGGAGGGGGGGCGCATGGGAGTGGGAACAGGGAGCATGACCTATCAGGGACCCAACCACAATCGATGTGACGGTATAGTGCGGCATGTTATGCGAGGATGACGTTCCGTGTTTGGCCTGAGCGGGGGGGAAGTGTCTGCGAGAGTGTTGTGCGATCATCCAGCGGGCGCGTGTTGTCGGTGGGATGGCACCCAGCTGGCTTCCGACGTAAAGGATCAACACAAGTACCCGAGCCACCTTCGCCCAGGAGGTTGGTGAGATTGGCAAACGCCCCTGGTAATCACAGAGATCGCGGGGTGGCGGTCAGCAGAGTCGGGTCGCATTTCGTGCAAAGCACACTGCCGAAACGGAATGGCAGGGTCATCCTCGTGAACTCCACAATGCCGCAGGTCGTGAAGACCAGCGACGGCAGGACCGGGAGGAGGGATGGGACGAGGTGGAGGAGGACGAGAAGAAGGAGGAAGAGGAGGAGGAGGAGGAGGAGGAGGAGGAGGAAAGGAAAGAGGATTGACTGTGCATGATTGATCACGTCACTAACAAGGAAGGTCAGGGCAGGGAGAAGGAGGGAAACGACAATACCACCAGCCCGGAGGCGGATTGCACAAACAGCTCCCAAAAGGGCGAAAGGCCACCCACCGCACCAGGGTTGCCTGTCGTTAACCTCCCCCCCAGCTCATTTCTAAGATTTGGGGCGATGGGGCATGTGAAAAGCTGGTGGTGAAGCGTGTCCTGAGTCCCACACTCCCAGTGGAGGGATGTTCCATACCCAGCCTGATTCAGCCTCCACCTGGTCCATTCACGAGGTCCTTGCCCGCAGACGATGCCGACGATGCCAGCTCTTAAAGCCATGCATTTTGCATATCGGTTTTCGATTTTGACAGTGGTACCATTGCACGAAAGCCTCTTCCCTTCGGGCATTCACAAGGACAACATGTGTTCTCATTGTTCAAAATACCATCGCAGGATTCTAAAGAGCCGCCCCAATCGGTCCACGAACCTGCTTCCAAGGAGGAAGGAGGGAGGGAGGAGGAGGAGAAGGAGGAAGAGGAGGAGGAGGAGGAGAAACGGAGCAGGAGAAGGAAAGCATGAGGGAGGACGAGGAGCAGGAATGGAGGATGAGGAAAAGGGGGGAGGAGGATGCCCAGAGTGGGAAAACGGGCTGCCCTGGCCTCCACTTGGGGCTTACAGCTTAGCACGCGATACTACGGGCAAGCGCCACCAGAAGATCGGCTAGCTGGAGACATGAACGCGGATCTGCTAGAGCTGAACACATGACTTCTGCGCTACAGCGCCCCTGTCAGGGGCCGTTTCGGGGACGGGACGCTCTGGCGCTCGTCTCTCGTCTCTCGTGTCTCGTCTTTCTTCTCTTTCGCACCTCCTATCTTGGGGCCATCCTGGCCCGTCTTTGGGCTTTGTTGGGGCCTGAGAATCCATGCTTATACATGATTGAAAGGTCTCGGGTGGCATGGTGGCGGATGTGGAGGAAGGGGCATGCGATCATCACGTGACCATTTAATGTAGCCAGTGCCAGTCTGCACACGCGGCCAATCATTCAATCAGCCCGAGCCGTACACGAGAGTCAAACCTCAGGCGGACCCGCTCTCGATGACGTTTGGCCTTGCTCTTGCGTCTGCTCGCCTGGGACAACATGCACAGTGGCCCGCCGCACGTGCTGCGCCCTTGGTGTGCCCACTGGGAGTGCAGGTCGCGTCGGAGTTGCGGACCACGAAGTGTAATGCTTCCGGTCTGCGCGCAGACGACCCCCCAAGGTAATCTTGATTGGCCTCAACAGGCTTCCCGATTAGTGGGCTGGCCTCAGCAGGCCCTCCGAGTAGTCTGGAGCGGTCGCAACCCAAATCAATGCGCAGCCTGAAACCTTAACACCACATCTGCAAAGATGTTGGCGGCCGCGACGGGGCAGGCACGCTGGATGGCCAGTATAGCTCCTGTGGTATCGTCATCGATCTGCTTATTCGCGAAGGTGCCCTGGTCGAGGAAAGACGCGATTTTGTCGATGCCGCTGGGTTGTTCGCACAACGCATCGCTATCCAAGTCCGTCAGGGTGAACGCACTAAGGGACGAAAGTGGCAGCTGCGAGCTGTGAGCCGCCGAGCACATGGCTTCGGCCAAGCCGTGTTCTGCAGCCTCATCGAGGCTCGCACTCGTCGGGTGGGAAACTTGTCCAGCCCCTATGTCGTACCTTCGGCGGCGACAACGTCTGGATCCTTTGAGTAACACCCAATATGGTACGTGGTTTCCAGCACGTCGCTCGGGTTGGAGGCGTTTTCAGACGCCGTCAACTTCTCTTCACCCAGGGGCCACTCGGTCAAACCACTCTTGTCGTCCATCGTGGTGTCCACGCTGTCCACGCCGAAACCTAAACACGGCCCTGGCCTGGACTTCGACATCCTCCAGGACAGGCAGTTCCTTGGACTCATTAGTCGAGTGAAGTTTGGGTTCCATGGCGAACTTTTGCTCGCCCTGTCCCATCTCTCGATTCTATACCATGCCCGCAGCGAAAGCACAGTGCACCTTTCAGTTCTGGCACAGAGGTCTTGACGCCAGTGCCCAGAGTGCGCCCTGCCACGGCGAACGCCTCTTCCCAGAAGAACTCGGGCGTACCATTCGGCGGAAAGAGCGCGTTCTGTGGTCGCTTGGTGGGGGGGGTTTGGAAACGGACCCCCCCCCCCTCCCCTCCCGTGACGGAGGGAGTGGGATCGAACCCCCCCCCCTTCCCCTTCCCTCCTCCCCTACTTCTCCTCTCTCCCTCTCCTCGGGCCAGCGCCTGCGTCGGCGGCGGCTGGCGGCGGCGGCGGGGAGCGTCGACGAGGACGACGGCGACGACGATGACGACGACGACGCTCCGCCACCGTGCTTCGGTTTTGGGTCAGAGTCCTACTGGATGCCTCTTGGGGTCTCGTCGGAGGGCTCTCGGGAGCATCTCAAGGGCATTTGTGTAGCCTCATGGGTGCGGTGCCTCTTGGGCGCCTCTTGGGGCCTCTCTGGGGTGGTGGTGGTGGTGGCCTGTGGTGGAGGTGGTGGTGGTGGTTGTGGCGGTGGTGGTGGTGGTGTGGTGGTTGGTGGTGGTGGTGGTTGTGGTGGTGGTTGTGGTGGCAGGTTGTGGTGGTGGTGGTGGCGGTGGTGGTGTTGGTGGTGCGGTGGTTTCTGATGGCGGTGGCGGTTGTAGTTGTGGTGGTGGTGGTGGGTTCAGTTGGTTGTGGTGGTGGCGGTGGTGGTGTGGTGGTTTGCCGTGGTGCTAGTGGTTGTGGTGGTGGTGGTGGTGGTGATGGGTTGTGGTGGTGGTGGTGGTGATGGTGGTGGCGGTGGTGGTGGTGGTTTGTTGTGGTGGATGGGTGGTTGTGATGGTGGGTGGTGGTGGTGGTGGTGGTGGCGGTGTGGTGTGTTTGTGGTGGTTGGTGGTGGGTTGTGATGGTGGTGGTGGCGGCGGTGGTGGTTGTTGGTGGTTGTGGTGTGGTGATTTGTTGTGGTGGTGGTGGTGTGTGGTGGTGGTTTGTGGTGGTGGTGGTGGTGGTGGTGGGTTGTGGTTGTGGTGATGGTGGTGGTGGTTGTGGCGGTGGTGGTGGTGGTGGTGGTTTGTGGAAATGGTGATGGTGGTTTGTGGTGGTGGCGGTGGCGGTGGTGGTGGTGGTTGTGGTGTGGTTGTTTGTGGTGGTGGTGGTGGTGCGGTGGTGGTGGGCGGTGGTTTGTGGAGGTGGTGGTGGTGGTGGCGGTGGTGGTGGTGGCGGTGGTTTATGGAGGTTGTGCTGGTGGTGGCGGTGGTGGTGGTGGCGGGGGTTCTGGTGTGGTGGTTTGTGGTGGTGGTGGTGGCGGTCGTGGTGGTGGCTGTGGTGTGTGGATGAGGCCGTGGTGGTTGTGGTGATGGTGGTTGCGGTGGTGGTGGCGGTGGTGGTGTGGTGGTTGGTGTGGTTGTTGTGGTGGTTGGTGGCGGTGGTGGTGGTGGTGGCGGTGGTGGTGGTGTTGGTGGTGCGGTGGTTTCTGGTGGCGGTGGTGGTGGTGGTGGTGGTAGTTGTGGTGGTGGTGGTGGTGGTGTGTTAAGGTTGTGGTGATGGTGGCGGTGGTGGTGTGGTGGTTTGCCGTGTTGGTTGTGGTGGTGGTAGTGGTGGTAGTGGTTGTGGTGGTGGTGGGTTGTGGTGGTGGTGGTGGCGTTGTTGTTGTTGTTGTTGTTGTTGTTGTTGTTGTTGTTGTTGTTGTTGTTGTTGTTGTTGTTGTTGGTGGTGGTGGTGGTGGTGATTTGTTCTGGTGTTGGGGTGGTTGTGGTGGTGAGTAGTGGTGGCGGTGGTGGTGGTGTGGTGGTTTGTGGTGGTGGTGGTGGGTTGTGATGTTGGTGGTGGCGGTGGTGGTGGTGGTGGTTGTGGTGGTTGTGGTGTGGTGGTTTGTTGTGGTGGTGGTGGTTGTGGTGGTGGTGGTTGTGGTGGTGGTGTGGTAGTGGCGTACTGGTTGTTTGTGGTGGTGGGTCGTGGTGGTGGTGGTGGCGGTGGTGGTGTTGGTGGTGGTGTGGTGGTTTGTGGTGGTGGTGGTGGCGGTGGTGGTGGTGGCGGTGGTTTGTGGATGTGGTGGTGGTGGTGGTGGCGGTGGTGGTGGTGGTGGTGTGGTGGTGTGGTGGTTTGTGGTGGTTGTGGTGGTGGTGGTGTGGCCTTCGGCTCTTCCCGCCATAGTGTGTTGGCCGGTCAGGGTTGGATGCTTTTCGAGGTCTCGTCAGAAGGGTCTCAGTGGCGTCCGAGGGGCATGTGCGAAGCCTCGTAGACCTTCCTCAGGGCCTCTCGGTGGCTTCTGTGGGGCGAGGGCTCGATATGGCGATTTGTGTGTGTGTGTTCCCTCCGCGGTCTCTGAGTGGGCCCTCTCCGGTCATCGTCGCTGCGTCCCCGCCGTCGTTGCTGCTGGCCGCCGCTAGCGCCGGCGCCAGCGCCGGCTCGGGGGGGAGGGGGGTTTGGATCCCCCCCTCCCCCCAGGGCCCTCTCTGGTCATCGTCGCTGCGTCCCCGCCGTCGGCGCTGCTCCGCCAGCGGCGCGGGCGCTGCCGGCGCCGTGGGAGGGGGGCTTGGACCCCCTTGGGAGGGGGGGGGTTTGGGGGTTCGGGAGGGGGGTAGGGGAGGGGAGGCTCCCTGGTTCTGATCGACGGCGCCGAGTGTTTTGGGGGGGGTTCGAAACGCGCCGCCGAATGTTTCCAAGGCGAGCGCCGTGAAACGCGATTTCTCAGTGGGCGAAGATCTGGCCAGGGCAGCCCCATAAGTTGCAGCGCCACGCGCGGCTGCACAACACACTATTGCGAGCAGACGGCCAGCGACTCCCTTGTTCAGCGCAGCGCGCACAGCCCCGTAGGCAGCAACCGCCGTGGGAAAACATTCAGATGGCGCGACTTCCATGAATGAGACGCGCGTGCAGAGGAAGTAGCAACATCCGAATAACTGGAACGTGTGTCAGAGTTCTTCAGTCGAATGGCTGGTGGGAGGAGGAGGAGGAGGAGGAGGAGGAGGAGGAGGAGGAGGAGGAGGCGGAGGAGAGAGGAGGGTGGAGGAGGTGGAGCGGAGGCAGGAGGCGGGGAGGAGGAGGAGGAGGAGGAGGAGGCGGAGGCGGAGGCGGAGGCGGAGGCGGAGGCGGAGGAAGACGAGGAGGAGTAAATATGAGGAGGAGGATGAGAGGAGCAGGAGGAGGAGGGGAGGAAGAGGAGGAGGAGGAGAGGAGGAGGAACAGGAGAGGAGGAGGAGGAGGTAGGAGGAGGGAGGAGGAGGAGGAGGAGGAGGAGGAGGAGGAAGAGTTTTTTGTTATATATATGTACGTTTTCGGTCCTTTCTGGCCTGCTTTAGCTCCATCAGGGATCCTCTTCCCCTTCGTCCTCCAGCTCCTCCTTTTTCCCAACCATCCTGTGGTGTTGGGTCCTCGTTTTGAAGAGACAGCGCCCCGCGTCCACTCCTCCCGCTGCCCCCTCCTCCCCCTCCTTGCCTCTGCTCTCGGCACACCTCTCACTCCCCCTCCTTGCCTCTGCTCTCGGCACACCTCTCACGCGTTTCGTAGCCCCATAGGGAGCTCCACCGAAGGCCCCAGTGGGGGTGTCCACATGCGGTTCCCCCACCCAGGGCAGCGTTTCGTAGCCCCAGAGGGAGCTCCACCGAAGGCCCCAGTGGGGGTGTCCACATGCGGTTCCCCCACCCAGGGCAGCGTTTCGTAGCCCCAGGGGGAGCTCCACCGAAGGCCCCAGTGGGGGTGTCCACATGCGGTTCCCCCACCCAGGGCAGCGTTTCGTGGCACCATAGGGAGCTCCACCGAAGGCCCCAGTGGGGGTGTCCACATGCGGTTCCCCCACCCAGGGCAGCGTTTCGTGGCCCCATAGGGAGCTCCACCGAAGGCCCCAGTGGGGGTGTCCACATGCGGTTCCCCCACCCAGGGCAGCGTTTCGTGGCCCCACAGAGGGAGCTCCACCGAAGGCCCCAGTGGGGGTGTTTGCATGCGTCTCCCCCACCCAGGGCAGCGTTTCGTAGCACCTGAGGGAGCTCCACCGAAGGCCCCAGTGGGGGTGTTCGCATGCGGTTCCCCCACCAGGGCAGCGTTTCGTAGCCCCATAGGGAGTTCCACCGAAGGCCCCAGTGGGGGTGTTCGCATGCGGTTCCCCCACCCAGGGCAGCGTTTCGTGGCCCCATAGGGAGCTCCACCGAAGGCCCCCCAGAGGAAAAAGCCACATTGCGTTCCCCCACCCGGGCAGCGTTTCGTCCTATTTTTAGCACCAGAGGGAGCCCACCGAATGTTTCAGTTGGGGGAGTCACATGCGGTTCCCCCACCCAGGGCAGCTCGTCGTAGCCCCGAGGGAGCTCCACGAATGGCACCCAGTGGGGGTGTCGCATGCGGTTCCACACCCAGGGCAGCGTCCGCGGTTGCCCAGAGGAGCTCCAGCCGAAGGCCCAGAGGGGTGTCCATCATGCGGTTCCCCCACCCCAGGTGCAGCGTTTCGTAGACCCAATAGGGAGCTCCACGAAGGCCCCAGAGTGGGGGTGTCCACATGCGGGTCCCCACACGCAGCGGTTTCGTAGCCCCGAGTGGGCGAGCTCCACCGAAGGCCCCAGTGGGGTGGTCCACATGCGGTTCCCCCAAAAGGGCAGCGTTTCGTAGGCCCAGAGGGAGCTCCACCGAAGGCCCCAGTGGGGGTGTCCACATGCGGTTCCCCCACCCAGGGCAGCGTTTCGTAGCCCCAGAGGGAGCTCCACCGAAGGCCCCAGTGGGGGTGTCCACATGCGGTTCCCCCACACAGGGCAGCGTTTCGTAGCCCCATAGGGAGCTCCACCGAAGGCCCGAGTGGGGGTGTCCACATGCGGTTCCCCCACCCAGGGCAGCGTTTCGTAGCCCCAGAGGGAGCTCCACCGAAGGCCCCAGTGGGGCTGCCTGCATGCGGTCCCCCACCCAGGGCAGCGTTTCGTAGCCCCATAGGGAGCTCCACCGAAGGCCCCAGTGGGGGTGTTCGCATGCGTCTCCACTACCCAGAGGTCGCGCCGCCGAAAACGATATTCACACTTGCGGTATTCACAGTTGCATATGGTTGGGTCCTTCGCCAGGCTAATTCTTTTCCTTCTCCGCCTGCTCCTCTACTTTCTCTAACTCCAAAGACTTCCCGCCTCTGTCGACTTTTTTCGTCGGCCTCGTCGTCCTCGTCGTCCTCCTCGTCGTCCCCGTTGTCCTCTGGAATTCATGGCCGTGCTTGAGTTGTCTTGGGCCAGCCCTGGTCTGTTCAGGAGCACCCCGGGCTTCTCAAAAGGACATGACTTGATGCCTCCAGAGGTCCCCAGATCTCCGACAATATGTGCGGCGTTTTCCGTGATTTCGGTCTGGGTCTTGCTATCGCGCCCTGGGGCCGTTAAAAATTGACCCAGGACGAAACACTACCACCGGTGAAGGGTCGGGACCTTTCTGGGGCCTGGGGCCACGTATTGAAAAAAATACGTAGTCGGATGTCTGGTTCGCTCTCTTGTTCAGCTCCTGCTCGCCATTCCTCCCGCGTCGTCGTCGCCAGATGTCCCATCTGCTGAGACCTGCGGGAGAAAAGCCTGGGAAGCCTCCCCGCCAAGGATGGGGAGCCTCACCTGGAACATGTGGGGCCGGATGGCGTTGCGGAGCATCCCGAAGGCCCGTCTGGCTGGGGCACGTCGGTCAGATTCTGCCCGCGGTGGAAGCATCACGACGGGATGTTTCTGCGCAGCCCACGCCGTCGGAGGCCTGGGGAGGAGGGGCCCTCGCGAGGGATACGATGGAAGTCGCCGGTGCTCTCTGGAGAGAATCCGCCCAGTCAGGGTTGGCCAGATGGGTCGGCAGGGAAGGTCGGCCGGGAGGGTCGGCCGGGAGGGTTGGCCGGAGGGTTGGTAGGGGTTGGCCGAAGGGTTGGTTGCTGCTGGCCAGAGGGTTCGTCGGGGCTGGTGTTTCGATCGGTAATTCTTTCCGTATCGTGTCGTGGCGTTCTTCGTTGTCTCGGTCTTCTCTCTACCACTTTCCCCGCCTCTCGATGCTCTTCGAATGTTGATTTGGACTCATCGTGATCTGCATCGGCGCAGGTCGGGTGCGCTTGGGCTCTTCCGATGGCCTTTGATGGGGTCTGTGGCTTCCCGCGTGCCCTGTCTCTGATAGCATTCTTCGACATGGTGATGCGGCACTGAATGGATGCGCTTGGTGGAATCGTGACATTACGACCAGGCATGCGCTTGAATGTCCACGAGATGTCACTTGCCTGACCGTGTCGACTGCGCTCAAAACCAATTGTCGGCTGCTTATATTTTTTCCCAACCATCCTGTGGTGTTGGGTCCTCGTTTTGAAGAGACAGCGCCCCGCGTCCACTCCTCCCGCTGCCCCTCCCCCTCCTCCCCCTCCTTGCATCTGCTCTCGGCACACCTCTCACGCGTTTCGTAGCCCCATAGGGAGCTCCACCGAAGGCCCCAGTGGGGGTGTTCGCATGCGGTTCCCCCACCCAGGGCAGCGTTTCGTGGCCCCATAGGGAGCTCCACCGAAGGCCCCAGTGGGGGTGTTCGCATGCGGTTCCCCCACCCAGGGCAGCGTTTCGTGGCCCCATAGGGAGCTCCACCGAAGGCCCCAGTGGGGGTGTTCGCATGCGGTTCCCCCACCCAGGGCAGCGTTTCGTGGCCCCATAGGGAGCTCCACCGAAGGCCCCAGTGGGGGTGTTCGCATGCGGTTCCCCCACCCAGGGCAGCGTTTCGTAGCCCCATAGGGAGCTCCACCGAAGGCCCCAGTGGGGGTGTTCGCATGCGGTTCCCCCACCCAGGGCAGCGTTTCGTGGCCCCATAGGGAGCTCCAACGAAGGCCCCAGTGGGGGTGTTCGCATGCGGTTCCCCCACCCAGGGCAGCGTTTCGTAGCCCCATAGGGAGCTCCACCGAAGGCCCCAGTGGGGGTGTTCGCATGCGGTTCCCCCACCCAGGGCAGCGTTTCGTGGCCCCATAGGGAGCTCCACCGAAGGCCCCAGTGGGGGTGTTCGCATGCGGTTCCACCACCCAGGGCAGCGTTTCGTGGCCCCATAGGGAGCTCCACCGAAGGCCCCAGTGGGGGTGTTCGCATGCGGTTCCCCCACCCAGGGCAGCGTTTCGTGGCCCCATAGGGAGCTCCACCGAAGGCCCCAGTGGGGGTGTCCACATGCGGTTCCCCCACCCAGGGCAGCGTTTCGTAGCCCCATAGGGAGCTCCACCGTAGGCCCCAGTGGGGGTGTCCACATGCGGTTCCCCCACCCAGGGCAGCGTTTCGTAGCCCCAGTGGGAGCTCCACCGTAGGCCCCAGTGGGGGTGTCCACATGCGGTTCCCCCACCCAGGGCAGCGTTTCGTAGCCCCATAGGGAACTCCACCGAAGGCCCCAGTGGGGGTGTTCGCATGCGTCTCCACTACCCAGAGGTAGCGCCGCCGGAAATCATATTCACACTTGCGGTATTCACAGTTGCATATGGTTGGGTCCTTCGCCAGGCTAATGTGGCTTTTAAACTTGAGGGCATCTGGCTTACGACATTGGAAAACTCATTGTCGACATGTGTTCGGATTGATGCACGTTTAGTCTGAGTCAATTTCAGGTGTGTTCGTGCTCGCCCATGTGTGTACATCTTAGATCCAAGGTTGCCTGAAGTGTATGCTTCACATGCGGTAAACTTTGCGCGTTTTCCGGTATCGGATGCATCTCAGTGTCTGTCTCCCTCTCTCTCTCTCCTTCTCTCTCTCTCTCTTCCCTGATCTCTTTCCACTGTTTAAGCGACGGAGCGAATCCATGCTCGTCTCAGGCTGGGGGCATGAAGTTTGCCCAGTACGGGGTGATGCGAGAGATGAAGCTGTCCCTTGACAAGGTGCCTCTGCGGCGCCAGTTGCTGCCTCTGCCGGGCACACGAGGCCGTGTGGCCTTCCAATATTGTGACGCGGACGAACATCGACTGAAGTAGAGGTGGGTCTGCTTGCTGCAGCATAGTGAGGCCACTGTCGTGGGAGGCGTTCGGAAACGGCGGCTGTCGTGGGAGGCGTTCGGAAACGGCAGCTGTATACCACCGCCGGCCTCAGCCAGGGCCGTCTTGGGGCCCAGGAGGAGGAGGAGGAGGAGGAGGAGGAGGAGGAGGAGGAGGAGGAGGAGGGATGAGGGAGGTGGGGAGGAGGGAGGAGGGAATGGAGGGTGGAGGGAGGAGGGAGGAGGGAGGTGGGTTGATGGGAGGAGGGAGGAGGGATAGGGAGTAGGGAGGATAGGAGGAAGGAGGAAGAGAAGGAGGTGGTAGAGGAGGAGGAGGAGGAGGAGAGGAGGAGGAGGAGGTGGAGGAGAGGAGGAGGAGGAGGAGGAGGTGGAGGAGGTGGAGGTGGTGGAAGGAGGAGGAGGTGGAGGAGGTGGAGGAGGAGGAGGAGGAGGAGGAGAGGAGGTGGAGGTGGAGGTGGAGGAGGAGGACGTGGAGGAGGGAAGGAGGAGGTGGAGGAGGAGGAGGAGGTAGGAGGAGGAGGAGGAGGGTGGAGGGAGGTGGGAGGAGGGAGGAGGTGTGGGATGGAGGGAACGGGAGGAGGAGGAGGGTAGGAGGGAGGAGGGTGGAGGAAGGAAGAGAAGGGGCCTCTGGGCGACCACATCCACACCCAAGTCCAGACCTCGGGGAAACCACATCCACACTGGGGACTTCGATCGCGACGTTGGAGCTCCAGGTCTCCGCGCGCGCTCGCGCCTCTGGGCGGGATCCGCCGCTCCCCAGGGGGCACGCCCAGGGCCCGGCTCCAGGAGTCGCAGGTGCGGTCGGGGCGCAAGGGACGGGGGTTCATGCCAACGGGGGGTCAGCTAGAGCGCCGGATCTTGCGGGGTCCTGCAGAGCCGGGCGGCGCGGCCGTCATTTTTGCGGGTCCAGGTCCGTCGGTTTCAGTCCTAGGCCGTTTTCCCTAAAGGGTGGTCTACTAAAGAGAGGTTTGTCCACCGCCGAAGCCTCGGTAGCAAATCACGGGAGCCTTGTGTTCCCTCGTAATTTTATTCCCAACCATCCTGTGGTGTTGGGTCCTCGTTTTGAAGAGACGGTGCCCCGCGTTCCTCTCCTTCCTCCTCCCCCTCCTCCCTCCTCCCCCTCCTTGCCTCTGCTCTCGGCACACCTCTCACGCGTTTCGTAGCCCCATAGGGAGCTCCACCGAAGGCCCCAGTGGGGGTGTCCACATGCGGTTCCCCCACCCAGGGCAGCGTTTCGTGGCCCCATAGGGAGCTCCACCGAAGGCCCCAGTGGGGGTGTCCACATGCGGTTCCCCCACCCAGGGCAGCGTTTCGTGGCCCCATAGGGAGCTCCACCGAAGGCCCCAGTGGGGGTGTCCACATGCGGTTCCCCCACCCAGGGCAGCGTTTCGTGGCCCCATAGGGAGCTCCACCGAAGGCCCCAGTGGGGTGTCCACATGCGGTTCCCCCACCCAGGGCAGCGTTTCGTTGCCCCATAGGGAGCTCCACCGAAGGCCCCAGTGGGGGTGTCCACATGCGGTTCCCCCACCCAGGGCAGCGTTTCGTGGCCCCATAGGGAGCTCCACCGAAGGCCCCAGTGGGGGTGTCCACATGCGGTTCCCCCACCCAGGGCAGCGTTTCGTGGCCCCATAGGGAGCTCCACCGAAGGCCCCAGTGGGGGTGTCCACATGCGGTTTCCCCCACCAGGGCAGCGTTTCGTGGAACCATTAGGGAGCTCCAACGAAGGCCCCGTTGGGGGGCCCGCATGCGGGTTCCCGAGTAGCGGCAGCGTTTTCGGTAGCCCCATAGGAGCTCCACGAAGGCCCCAGTGGGGGTGTCTCCACATGCGTCCCACCCACCCAGGGCAGCGTTTCGTGGCCCCATGGGGAGCTCCAAACCGAAGGCCCCAGTGGGGGTGTCACATGCGGTGTCCCCCACCCGGGCAGCGTTTCGTAGCCCCATAGGGAGGCTCCACCGAAGGCCCCAGTGGGGGTGTCCCACATAGGGAGCTCCTCCGTAAGCCCCAGTGGGGGTGTCCACATGCGGTTCCCCCACCCAGGGCAGCGTTTCGTAGCCCCATAGGGAGCTCCACCGAAGGCCCCAGTGGGGGTGTCCACATGCGGTTCCCCCACCCAGGGCAGCGTTTCGTGGCCCCATAAGGAGCTCCACCGTAGGCCCCAGTGGGGGTGTCCACATGCGGTCCCCCCACCCCGGGCAGCGTTTCGTAGCCCCATAGGGAGCTCCACCGTAGGCCCCAGTGGGGGTGCCCGCATGCGGTTCCCCCACCCAGGGCAGCATTTCGTGGCCCCATAGGGAGCTCCACCGAAGGCCCCAGGGGGGGTGCCCGCATGAGGTTGCCCCACCCAGGGCAGCGTTTCGTAGCCCCATAGGGAGCTCCACCGAAGGCCCCAGTGGGGGTGTTCGCATGCGTCTCCCCTACCCAGAGGTAGCGCCACCGAAAACGATCTTCATATTTGCGGTATTCACAATTGCATATGGTTGGGTCCTTCGCCAGGCTAATTTTTAGCGTCAGTTAGCGTCGATTAGCGTCTGGGAGTCGATGAGATAGCGCCGATTTCGCGTCGAAAAACGTCGATTTAGCGTAGATTTAGCGTCGATTAGCATCGATTTAGTGTCGACTGGTGTCGATTCGCAAGAGCCGACAAGGTGGTACGGGAGGCTCCCATGAGTTGCCACCGAGCAGAGCCAGGGGTTGCGCTGACTCGGGTTAGGGCGCAGGATCCTGCCAGATCCTGTAGGATCTTGCAACGCCTGCTGACCCGGGCTGACGCCAGGTCAGTAGATCCTTCACCAACCACCACCACCCCAACCCAACCCGAAAACCTCAATTTACACTCCATTTCGGGTGGGGGGGAGTCGGGGAACATCGCAAACACATATGGAGCCCTTACCCCCCCGAACCCGAAATTCGGGTCTTCGGGTTGGGTTGGGGTGGTCTGGAAGGTAGTCAAACCCTGATACGGATGTGCCCTGGCGGTGCAGGTGGTATCCCCGCCAGCCGCGACGATGATATCTTTCGGAGTGGTGGGCACCTTCTTCCAGTCGGCCATCTACAACTCGCTGATCTCGGACATGTACAAGGCGGCCCCTCCTCGGCCCTACGCCTCCTGTCTCGATGTGGTAGTGGTGTTCGTCGTCGTCGTCGTCGTCTTCTTCGTCGTCGTCGTCGTCTTCGTCGTCGTCGTCGTCGTCGTCGTCGTCGTCGTCGTCGTCGTCGTCGTCGTCGTCGTCGTCGTCGTCACAGTCGACGTCGTCGTCGTCATCGTCCTCGTCGTCGTGCCGAGGTGGGCGCCGCCCCCCCCCCGCGGTTTCGTAGGTTTGTCCTGGGCAGAAGGAGGAGGAGAGGTAGGAGAGGAAAAAAAGGAGAGGAGGAGGAGGAGGAGGAGGAGGAGAGAGGAGGAGGAGGAGGGAGGAGAGGAGGAGGAGGAGGAGGAGGAGGAGGAGGGAAAGGAGGAGGAGGAGGAGGAGGAGGAGGAGGAGGGAGGAGGAGGAGGAGGAGAGGAGAGGAGGAGGAGGGAGGAGGAGGAGGAGGAGGAGAGGAGGAGGAGGAGGAGGAGGAGAGAGGAGGAGGAGGAGGAGGAGGAGGAGGAGGAGGGAGGAGAGGGGAGGAGGAGGAGGAGGAGGAGGAGGCAGGAGGAGGAGGAGGAGGAGGAGGAGGAGGAGGAGGAGGAGAGGAGGAGGAGGAGGAGGGAGGAGGAGGAGGAGGAGGAGGAGGAGGAGGAGGGAGGAGGAGGAGAGGAGGAGGAGAGGAGGAGGGAGGAGGAGGAGGAGGAGGGAGGGAGGGGAGGGAGAGGAGGGGAGGGGAGGGGAGGGGAGGGAGGGGAGGGAGGGGAGGGGAGGGGAGGGGAGGGGAGGGGAGGGGAGGGGAGGGAGGGGAGGGGAGGGGGGGAGGGAGGGGGAGGGGAGCGGGAGTGGAGGGGAGGGGAGGGGAGGGGAGGGGAGGGGAGGGAGGGGAGGGGAGGGGAGGGAGGGAGGGAGGGGAGGGGAGGGGAGGGGAGGGGAGGGAGGGAGGGGAGGGGAGGGGAGGGGAGGGGGGGAGGGGCGGGGGAGGGGAAGGGGAGGGGAGGGGGAGGGGAGGGAGGGGAGGGGAGGGGAGGGGAGGAGGGAGGGAGGGAGGGAGGGAGGAGGGAGGGGAGGAGGAGGAGGAGGAGGAGAGAGGAGGAGGAGGGAGGAGGAGGAGGAGGGAGGAGGAGGAGGAGGGAGGAGGAGGGAGGAGGAGGGAGGAGGAGGCCCACGAAGCTCGAAAAGGAATAGCCTCTATCCCCACCTAGGGGGGTAAATCGGCCATTTGGACCAAAGCCATGCCAGTGGGGATGGGGATCGGTGAAGCAATGTTCAGTCACCAGAGGTTATTGGAAGTACCCGTTCTTCCGTTTCGCCTCAGCGGGGTCATGATGAGGGGGAGAGTTGCCGCCAGGATCATGGAATTGTCCAGGTGGCAGATATGCAAAGGCCCATCATCGACGTTGTTTGTGCGGCCAGGCAAGGGAAACTATCGGCAGTGCCCAAGCAGATATGCCAACGCATGGAAGGCTTCGCAGCCTCAGTCGTCGTAGCAAGCGTGGTATATCCAAAACTGACAATGGCAAAGGCAGAGACGGGCAAGCTGGGCAGCATGGCTGCACGGGACACGACAATAATCTTCAGGCTCTCACCTCCGCGGCCATCCAGCATATCATGTTCACGCTCCCTGTGCTCACGGTCGAGGAGACAGAGCAGCATGCGGAGTGGCGAGAACCACCGACGGAAGCAGATGCGAGTTCAAGGAAGATGTACAACAGAGGATGGACAGCCTCGCCCTTGCAGTGGATGCGGCGCAGCGGGCGGGGCAAGACGTGGCAGACATGCATGTGAAGATCGCCGTCCACAAGCGTATGAGTATTAATCTCAAGCTTGTCGATCAGCAGCTCCGAGAAATGCAGGGGAAAGCAACTGGCCTCAGGGAGAGACTCCAGGCCAACAGTGCTCGGCAGCAGGAGCCTGCGAACGCCGAGTACGACATGGAAGAAGACCTGCGCATCGCGGAGGCGTTGGGCATCCAGAGGGATATTGTGGAACAAGCTACAAAGAAACCAAACGATATTACTATGGGAAGTGCGTCCAGGGGTGCACCGGGATCGCATTTCCAGCCTACTGCCACGCAGGCGAGCGCACCGGTACAGCAAGGCATGCTAGTAGCACCCGATGCCACAGCCGCGGCCTTTGGATCGACGGGTCAGGTCTTTGCTGGTTGCCAACCGCCATTGATTCCTCCCCCGCCTCCAGAGTGGCAGTTCACGGTTCAAGCCTTGCAACATCAGAGTCAGCAGTTGCAAGATCAGCAAAGAATGGATGAGCATTTGCGGCAAATATATTTTTTTCGGTGGCCAAGGACGAGGGCAAAGGGCACCTTCGCGCGTGGTGTCAGATACCGACGCCTATGCCAGCAAGCCAGATAGGTACCCAGTCCCCAACTGTAGCAGCGGCGACGGCGGTAGGGTTTTCTACGACGTCGGCCCCAACTGCAGCGCCGACAGTTTCGCCGCAACAAACATCCCAGGGGCCGTCGGAGCCGTCGTCGACGCAAATGTGGATGCCTGGTGGGGCTGCAGATCAAGCAGCGGAGGCAGCACGACGCGACCGTTCCCGTTTTCTGTTCCAGGGCGACGCCCAGAAGGGCATACACGGCTGCGGGCGGCGGCCAGGGCGAGACGGAGGAGATCCCGTACCTCGGGCCGGCGTCGCCGACTCCACCGATGATCCCCGTGGATGTGGAAGAAGTGGCTGCGCCGAAACATAGTCACCAAGCGCGTCCCCCGAAGGGTTCCGTTGCAATTCATGGGGGCCTTGTATACCTCCGTAATTCCGTCTTCCGCGCCGGCTCGCGTCGACTAGCGCCTGGTGGTCGCAAGATGGCGCCGATTCAGCGTCGCTTATCGCCGATTTGCCAGAGCCAACAGGATGGCATGGGAGGCTCCCATGAGTTGCCACAGAAGACGGGACAGACACCACTGAGGAGGTTTCAGCGGCAGGGCGACGAGCTCGCAGAGGGAGGCTGCCAGGGCCACGCGCGGCCTCCGACGCCAGCGGGCGGCCTCGCCAGCGCGGGGGCGCAGCCGACGGGACCGAGGGCAGCGACGCCGTCGGCGTCGGCGTGAGGTGCTCTGTCAGGTTCGGCGGCGTAGATGAGGCCGCGCGGCCCCGATAGCCCCCTCTTTCGTCGATCTCCTTCCTTCCCATCTGCCCTTCGGGGCTCCCAACGTCCTCTCTGAGGGGGCCCCGCGGCGTTGTGTGTTTCCGACTCTGGCGCGGGCGCCGAGGCAGACCGATCTGTGTCTCGCGTTGCGCATGACTCTCTTCGAACCTTTTTTCTCGGCACTCCATCCTCTTGTCCAAGAGCGAGGCCGTTTTGGCTCGCAGGTTTGCGGATTCCCTCTCGCTGCGTGCGCGTTGCTCTTGGCGCCTCCGGCCAGTCTCCCGATTAGTATGTGGGCAACGCGCGCGCATGTAGCATGCAGTGCAATTGCGAATTTAGCGCGGGCAGGGCGCATCCCGCGGCGTGGCTGGGGCCAGCGCGGGCGTGCGCAGACTGAGCCAGTATTTTGAAGCTTGTCCTGCAAGTGCGAGTGGCGTGCACGATGGCGCGCTAGAGGTTCCTGACTGCGGCGCTCCTGCAGGCTCACTTTCCCTGGGCGCGGCCCGGGGGGGCGGCGCGCGGCGCGGCGCGTGGTTGCGCGGGGGAGATGTCGTCGATCCTCGTGGGGGCCCTTCATCGCCGCGTCAGGGTCCTCCGCGCCAAGTGGCCCGGCGCCCTTTCTATGCCGTGCCATCTGCTGCCTTGCGTTTGCGTCTTGCGGCCGTCCTCTGGGGGATGGGGGAACTGCGGGAATCGCCGCGGGCGGGGGCCCGCATCGCGGCCGCGGTGCCGCTCGCGGGCGCCTCCCACGTGCCAGACGCCGTCGTGGCCTGCGCCTGCGAGCTTGACATGCAGACCTGCCTGCGCGCGTGCGAGCTGCGCCCCGTGGCCCGCTTTGCTGAGCACGTCGCTCCTCGGGCCAGTGCTCGAGGATCTGCGCCGATGGTTCTCGGCATGCTGATAATGATCAGGAGTCTGCATGGGCTTTCGTCGTTGTCGGTACTCCCCTCAGGTCAGGAAAGGGGGGAAGGGGGCCCGGTGGTGCATCGCGGGTGTTTGAAAGGCAAGGCTTCTCAGACCGGCGCGGTCGATTTCGACCGCTATTGGGCGACTGGTGCCCTTTTTGAGCTCTCGGCAGTTATCTGGTCTTTTGTTTTGGTCGCTGCTGCGTTTTCTGAGGCCGCCGCGAGGGGTCTTTCGAGACATCCCAGTGCGTAGGTTGATGGCAAGGCCGCCATTGATCTGGTCGATGGAGACGCCGCCCCCAGCGCCGCGGAGGGGGCCTTGCCAAGGTTGCTCGGCGCGTGGTTTGTTCAGCTCGGCGCAAAGCCCTCATCGAGATTGCGCGCATTCGAGGGCGCGCGCGCCAGCTCGCTGCGTGGAGATGTCGCTTTTCCTGCTCCTGTGCCTCCTAGGCGTCAGCTGGGCGGGATTGCGCCCGGCGGGCTCGTGGGGGGCAGTGATTTGCGGGCGCTCCGCTTGCCGTGCGGGCGCAGCTCCCCTGACGGTGACTTGCGCGTTGCCACTAAGCAAGTTGCTGCGCCCGAGAGCGCATTCAATAATATTCTCGCGACCTCCACCGGTACTCCTTCTTCCCCTCCTCCGTGCCCCTTCTTCCGCGCCCTTCCTTCTTCCCCCTTCGCCCCTCGTTCTCCTTTCTTCTCCCGCTCTCACTCCTTCGCGCGGTGGGTGCGACGGTTGCCTGGGCGCGCGCGAGGCCGAGGAAGCCGCCGGAGTGCTGGTCGATGTTTACCTGCGTCACTCGCGGCCCGGCGGCGGCCCGCGACGCGCGCAATTCCAAGATATCCAGAGGGTTTTTTTTTCCGGAGCGTGCCTGCCTCGGGCCCCAGCGCCGCGAGTTGGCGCGGGGTCGCGGGCGCGCGGGGCGCTCGCAATCCCGCGGTTGCACGGGGGGGCAAGGGCTCTGACATTTTCGCGTCCGCTGCGGACGAGGGAAAGAACTCAG